AATGGTATTTATAAATTTTGACTGAAGTTAAGTTTGCAATTTTTTTAACAGGATCCAATTCTGTTCAGTGGTACTTTGAGGAAGAATTTGGATCCATTTGAAGAATACACAGATGACCAGTTATGGGATTCACTGGAACAGGTAGGTTTATACGATACAACTCATTTACTAGTTAAATAATTAGGACACCTGGCTGTCAGAGACTGTAAAAATTTGAGGAAAAGAGCATTTGTAAGAAAACTATTTTGGACATTTTTGCAAAAAGGTTCCAAAATAAATTCTGAAAAGAAAAAGGTTCGGCAATTTCCTGCTGTTTTCTGAGCATGCAACAGTGGATTATATCAATTTGAATACTTAATAAAATATGTGCATGCATTTAAAAAATGGCTGCCTTCCAGTACATACGTGCTTGTGTTTATTTCTGGATATTTCTTAATATCAGGTTACACTGTATTTTATAAATAAAGATTTTTTAGTGGTTTTACATTTAAATGCGACCTTAATTATTTGGATAAAGAATTATGGTATCCAAATAAAATACCATGATTTTTTGCTTAGAAAAAATGATTTCTTTAAATAACTTGTTTGATAATACTTATTCTACAGGTGCAGCTCAAAAATAAAGTTCAGAGTGAGAGTGAGGGTCTGTACATGGAGATGACAGAGAGTGGACAGAACCTGAGTGTGGGACAGAGACAGCTGGTGTGTCTGGCCCGGGCTGTCCTCAGACAGAACAAGATCCTGGTGCTGGACGAGGCCACCGCCAATGTCGACCACAAGTAGGAGGTTCTACAGCGAAAACTGTCTAATCCAATGCCTGCGTAATCTGTCGTACTGTGAATTCTGATGTTAAATTTCCCATTTTACTATTTTCTTTGTGTTTTCACACTGTGCAATTCGACCCTCTGTCTATTCCAACACAATATTTGTCCCCCAGTGCATGTTGGATTAGACAGGTTTCACTGTACCTTAGTTAAATGAAAAAGTTATCTATGTTGCACATATTTAGATGCAGATGCCAGAGATCTGTGTTTTATGGACTAGCTCTTCTCAGATTTGTATTGCTTATAGACTTTTAGAAATTAATCACTGTTTGTAATCTTCATCTTTTTCATTTATAGCACAGACAATTTAATTCAGGAGACTATCAGAACCCGGTTCATGAAATGTACAGTTTTAACAGTGGCCCACAGAATCCATACCATCATGGACTCGGACAGAGTTATGGTAAACTACTCAACTCTTTATCCATTATATAATTCAAAAAGGAAAATCTCAAATAGCTGTCTAAGTTTTTCTTGGTGAATCTGAATGCTGAGGCAGCTGAGATTATTTTATATTATCAATGCATTTTTCTAATTCCAGGTTTTGGAACATGGAAAACTTGTTGAATTTGATACGCCTTACAAATTACTTCAGATCAAAGATGGATTTTTCACAAATTTGGTTCAACAAACTGGAAAGGCCCAGGCAAAGCATTTACTGACATTAGCTGAAAAATACCACAATGAAAGATCATGATAAATTAATTTTTTGGCATATAATAAATGGAAAAAATATGTATTTGAGTTATTTGTCTGTTATTTAGATAAGTCGTTGTTCATGTACTTAACTATTGTCATAAAACTTCATCAAGTGACCTATTAATACATAGATAGGTTTGTAGGGTAGACAACGTGTTCTCTGATCAAAATCTTGAGTCAACCTCAGTTGGTTAACATCAAACTTAGTACAATGGTTTTCTTTAAGAAGTAGATGATCCTTATTGATTTTGAGGTCAAAAGATTAAGGGTAAAACTACTCAAGACAAAGAAAATATATCTGCTCAATATCTTCAGAACCCTTTGCATGGCTGTCATCAATCATAACATTGTTTCCCTACAAGAGGAAATTGAGTCCTCTTTAAACTTTAAGGATACATACCACAAACAAATTTTCTTATCTCCCACACAGAAGAGTTACTCTGGTATTTTTTAATATTTCTTTCATTGGAAATATAATTTATAGATTTTAGTTGTGTAAAGTGTTGAAATACACTCTTGAACATATCCACTTTGGAGTAGGAAAACTGAATACATTTTATAAACTTTAAAAAATATGCTGAATTGTAAAGCTGCATTTTTGTACTTTTGCCAAATTATTTGACTTGGCCAAACATTAACTTGTTTAACTAAACAAATATCACTTCTGCAATTATAAAGGCACCTAATTTAGCAAAGATATCTGAAATTTGGAAGAAAAAACTTGGTGTTATCCTTTTATCCTTAAAATCACAAGCTCAAGGGTCAAAGTGAACATGGGAAAATTTTGACCAATCAATATTTTGACGAGCCTATGTTTGAAGGATATCAAATATGGTACACTGGTCCATCTCGGGGATAGATTTTGAGGTCACAAAGTCAAACTTGAACTGCTTTTCCTCCTACAATATTTATCTGACTTCAGTATAACTTGGCACACAAGTAAACCACACTGAGATTATTCCCGTCTTTTCATTAACATTTGATTGGGATGAATGTTGTTGCCATGATGACTTAAAATGGAAATTTCTGTGAAATAATTTTTAAATACTTCTCCAACAGTTTTGAAATGATTTCAATATAATTGAAAAGGCTTTGATAAATTTAAAAAAAATGCATTTGATGTAGAAAATGAATGCACGTTTTTATAATTCACTAAAGACCTCAAATATAAAATGAACATAAGATTATTGCGATGAACTGAATGCATGACAGGAAATGCTGTAAAAGAGTCTCTGTCGCCGATTACCCGATAAATCCACAGCAGGTGAATTTACAAATATTTTTGGGGCTTTATTTATCGTTAACTATTTTTCAGGATGTATAGGCATTCATTTTCTGCAATAAGGAGCAATATGTGGCAATTTTATTCTCTGTAAATACCGTCCACTCTCACTTTGTTTGGTGAGTGACTGTTGTTGCTCTTAAAGGTGTTGGAGTAGAATCTCTCAAAATTTGCACATAATCGAAAATTGAAGAAAAATCACAATTATATCTCTATTTCAAAACTGTTAGAATAACTAGACTTAAATGCTTCAAATCCCATTGTTCTTCAAAGGAGGAAAAATAAAACAAACTCCCTTTCCAACCCATTAAAACTTATTTCGGAGGGGGGTGGAGGGTCCCTTCCTTCACTTTTTACATTACTTACTTATATTACTTACTTTTAAGTGTAACTCTCTTAACTAACTGTAAAACTTGAGAGAGGTTCGTGTTTCCTTTGAAAAAATACGGGGGGGGGGGGTGTTCCAAGATAAATTTTAAATCTTTATGGTGTACATTTAATAGCTTCGCAAATTTCGAGAGAAAGGCTCGTACCCCCGACCCTCAACTAGATCGTGCGTGATATATAATGACGTATTTTAAGTTCTACCTTAAGGATTTTGTATTGTGTTATTGGGGTCTTGTTACGGTAAAAATTAAAGTTTTCAAAACTGCATCAATACAATCCGATAAAGATAATTTCTCTCATTCAAAAGTCATCAGCGTTTTTAAGATTTTTGAAAATCAGGTCAAACTTCAAGGTCAAGATAATGGGATTAAAAGTCAGTGTGTACATTTCGAAAAGGCCTTGTCACAGGTACTTCGTATATCATGTATAAGAATGTATTATTTGTATGGAACGATGTATAATAGGGTATTTTTTGTATGGGACGATTATTTTCCAGTTTCTCCCGATTTTTCCTGTGGTATATACATAAGGAATAAGTGTAATATATATCACCAACAAGCCCCGAGGTTGATATTTTATCGGTGGGGTGGGGGTTGGGGGGTCCTATCCACAAGTATCTGTGATCTAGTAATCATTGCTTAAGGACAGAAACGGACAGATATGAAAGGAAACTTTTAAATAAATGTGGTAACAAAAAGCAAATTGCAGTTTTTATACATCTTTTAATGTACATTTTTTGCATTTTTACAACGCACTTTGAAAAATAACGCACGTAGAAATTTTTCTTTCAAAGTACGTTAAATTTGGGGACATGGTTAACGCACTTTGAAAAATAACGCACTTAGAAATTTTTCTTTCAAAGTACGTTAAATTTGGGGACATGGTTAACGCACTTTGAAAAAAAATATGCACGGATTGGTCAATATCCTAGCACATGCCTGTATTATGTCTATCTTTGCAAAATTGTTGGGGGGGGGGGGGGGGGGTTAACACCCCCCTTCCCGGGTCCGACGAATTATGTAGGTATAGTGATGATGACATTGAGCATTGATGGACTTTAAATTTTTAGAAGGACTAAAATTCAATGCACTAAGGACTTCCTAATACTTTTTACGGCATTCAGAATTTTCCAGTTTTATTTTTTTAAATATTACTTTATAGAAAGCTACACGTATGAGAAATGCATTAAATGGGGTCTAAGTTTGTAGCTAATAAAAGAAAATAATTTCCCCTCATAATATGATGGTCTTTTTATATAGAGTTACTTGATTAGCATGAAATTTTTTTTGTATTGTATTTGATTTCTTAAAGCTACTTTGGCCAAACTATAGTTAGATGGCTATATTGTTGTGTAACGGGAGAGGAGAAAATGCAGCGGACCAGACCGGGATTCGAACCCGGGCCTCCTGAAACTCCGGTCAGGTGCCCTACCAACTGAGCTATCTGGCCACCGGCGATCGAACCCGGCTAACCGCAACATTCCTCCCTCCTTAAAGGTCTTTGGTCCTCCAAAGACCTCAACCCAGGCTTATCCCTGGCAGGTCTTTCACCTGTCAAACCTGGTCACGGCACCAAATGTAACGGGAGAGGAGAAAATGCAGCGGACCAGACCGGGATTCGAACCCGGGCCTCCTGAAACTCCGGTAAGGTGCTCTACCAACTGAGCAATCTTGCCACCGGCGATCGAACCCAGCTGACCGCCACAGTTGCTTAGATCTATCAGTGATATGGATCCATGGCCTCTGAAAGTACATCAATGTCATACCTAACCAGTTATGTAAATATATATATTTGGTTCTAGGAAAGATAAAGAGTGGGACTGAGGGACCTGCTACCTCTCTTCACCTCGTTCTCAATGAGGGTAAAATGCATTTATTCACGAAAGTTTTGAGGATTTATTTTTACCTATGATAATGAGCACAACGGGCTTTCATACTTGACAACGAATGGCATACGCACACGCACAAGAGAAAGCCACGAAAACCTTGCTTTAATTGAGGTAAGATTATTTGAAAGGATTCCTGCTTTCTATATAGAAAAGAGGGTATAAAAGTGTCCTTTATAATTTTGGCAGAGAATTAGACCAGATACGAAGCGTATCTGGGTACAGTGTTTAACTGTTTAAGGGTGTGTCCCTATTCTCTTGAGAGAAGTGGACAGGCTAGCTTTATGCCTACATGTAGGATGTTGGCGAAAGCTTGTCCACTTCTCTAAAGAGAATAGGGATGTCCCCACTTCTTTAATATGCATGAGTGACAGTCTTTGCCATTTACTGTATGAAATAACCTAATGTTAACTCAGAGTATAGGACATGGGTCCCCGATTGCTCTGGATCTATTAGGGAACAGATCACCCTGAATTAACTGCATAAAATACCAAAAATAACTCAAAGCCTATCTAGCATAACTTCAATTCGTAATACATGTAGCATGCTGAAGGGATGGGTTGAGGACATTTCACATAGTTTTTTAAAACCATCATATGACCTGTCAATCTCTTTTTTAAAAGAAGTACAACAATAGATTTGTTTAAAATTTTTAGCTCACCTTATCGAAGTGGGGGAGCTTATGTGATACCCTTGGCGTGGGTGTTTGCATCCCAGGTTAAGGTTTCGTCAAAGATCAACCTGTCTAAAAAATTATTTTTACAATAGCCCCTAAACTACGAGTTGGACGTGAATGGTCTCTGAAAGGCTGTTATTGAAAGCATGACATGTATCAAGACCCCTATAAAATACGCCATTTGCAATGTACTTTCACTTTGAAGTCTTAACATTTGGACAAAATAAACAGGAAAAAAACTTTCCAGAGGTTATCCAAGTCCATCTTGCCCTTCATTGAGAAACATATTTTGTTTTTGCAATAATGGTTTTCACTAAGAGCGCGGAATTAATTTGGTGTATTTTCTGAAAATATATGCATTTTTAAAAAGAATTTTTCACAATTAATATTTTTCCAAGTATTTTTTTTTATCAAGTGATACTTTCTATCTGTTAATCAATGAACAATTTATAAACTGTAAAAGTTTTAACTTTATATCCCTCATAGTTTTGGGGATATTGTAAAAAGAAATTTTTGGACATGGTGTCCTTTGACGAACCCTTAAGGTTTTTGGAGCAGTTCTCTTTTTAAGTTTTTCTATGCCCTAAATTGATCAGACATGCATGGAATGTGCTTCTAATGTGTTTCATTGTACCAGATAAGATTTCAGACGCTGCAAGTTCAGCAAAGGAATGACCAGGTTAATGTTTTTGGAGCAGGTTAACATTTTTTGTATAGTTTTTGGTGTAGGTCTTATTTACAAATATTTCTATTTCTATTTTTTTTTTCTCTGTGATATCTCTTTGAAAGTTATTGATTTTTTATCATTCGATCGAAATATAAATTAGGCAGGTCGATAGGTATGAAGCTAAGGAGGCCTATTGTGCATGCACATCGCGTGCGCATCTGTCTCTGTGTCTGACGCTAAGGAGGCCAAATATGCATGTAATTCTCATGCAGCTGCCTTTGTGTTTGACGTCAGTGGGCGAGGGCTATTGAAATTGGCATAGTAGTCCTCGTGTAATGTAAATATATGTCTGGATTTTTAAAATCTAAATCTACAATTTTAATTGAAATTGGCATGGTAGTCCTCGTGTAATTTAAATATATGTCTAGATTTTTAAAATCTAAATCTACAATTTTATTTCATAATGAAATGGAAATATAAGGAATCACTGTTTAGTTAGTATAGTATGCCAGGGACATCAACGATAGTGAGAAACATGGGATGATTTATGCATAACGGGCTTCAACTATTATGCAAATTATACCATGTTTCCCACTATCGTTGATGCCCTGGCATACTAAACTAACTACTAGTAAACAGTGATTCCTTAAATAACTACTATGAGCCCTCTGACGACCAAACTTGCATGGATGATACGTCTACGGGTGAATGCCCACTACCAAACTTGCTTCGGATGCTGGATCTGACCTACATTTTCCAGATAAGTGAAAAGTTTAATGTTTTTTAACATTCACATTAACATGTGAAGGTCCCATTTCCAAGTAATTATGAGCTCTATGATGACCAAACTTGCATGGATAATACAATTAAGGATGCACACTACCAGGCTTGCTTCTGATGCTGGATATATGCCCTATTTTGAGCAAACATGCATGGATGATACATCTAAGATGCAAACTAATGGACTTGCTTCAGATGCTGGATCCAACAAACATGTTCCAGATAATGGACCAGGTAAAAGTTATGGGTGCAAGTCTACCATCAAGAAACTATAAGGTCTATATTAACCAAACTTGCAGAAATGATGCATCAAGGGATGAACACTCTCAACTTGTTCAGATGCTGGATTACATCTTCATTATGAGCGATTATTTGAAGTTTTTCAGATTAAAATTGCATAAAATATTTGCATTTTGGTATGTAAAAATTTTAATGTTTGTTAACTTTGGGACTTTACCTTACTTAAAGACAACATTGGATGAGATGAACTCTATAATCTCAGCTCTAATTACCTATTTTTAGCTCATCTGAGCCAAAGGTTCAAGTGAGCTTTTCTGATCAAAATTTGTCCGTTGTCTGTCGTTGTCGTTGTCGTTGTCTCGTTGTTGCCGTTGTAAACTTTTCACATTTTCATCTTCTTCTCAAGAACCACTGGGCCAATTTCAACCAAACTTGCTACAAAGTAAGGGGGATTCAAGTTTGTTCAAATGAAGGGCCACGCCCTTTTCTAAGGGGAGATAATCATGAATTAGAGAAAAAATTATGGCATTTTAAACAAATCTTCTTCTCAAGAACCACTGGGCCGGGAAAGATGAAACTCAAGTGAAATCATCCTCAGGTAGTGTAGATTCAAGTTTGTTCAAATCATGACCCCCGGGGGTAGGGTGGGGCCAAAATGGCCGATCAAAATTTTACATAGGAAATATAGGAAAAATCTTTAAAAATCTTCTTCTCAAGAACCACTGGGCCAGGAAAGATGATACTCATGTGGGATCATCCTCAGGTAGTATAGATTCAAATTTGTTCAAATCATGACCCCCGGGGGTAGGGTGGGGCCAAAATGGCCGATCAAATTTTTATATAGGAATATATAGGAAAAATCTTTAAAAATCTTCTTCTCAAGAACCACTGGTCCAGGAAAGATGAAACTCCTGTGGAATCATCTTCAGGTAGTGTAGATTCAAGTTTGTTCAAATCATGACCCCCGGGGGTAGGGTGGGGCCAAAATGGCCGATCAAAGTTTTACATAGGAATATATAGAAAAAATCTTTAAAAATTTTCTTCTCAAGAACCACTGGGCCAGGAAAGATGATACTCATGTGGAATCATCCTCAGGTAGTGTAGATTCAAGTTTGTTCAAATCATGACCCCCGGGGGTAGGATGGGGCCAAAATGGCCGATCAAAGTTTTACATAGGAATATATAGGAAAAATTTTCTTCTCAAGAACCATCGAGACAGGAAAGATGAAACTCCTGTGGAATCATCCCCAGGTAGTGTAGATTCAAATTTGTTCAAATCATGGTAGGGTGGGGCCAAATGGCCGATAAAAGTTTTACATAGGAATATATAGGGAAACCTTTTAAAATCTTCTTTTCAAGTACTTCAAAGCCATGCTTAGTGATATTTATATGGAATCATCCTCAGGTAGTGTAGATTCTAGTTTGTTCAAATTATGACCCCCTGGGGAGTTAAAATTCAAGCCCCCCCCCCCCCCCCCCCCCCCCGCAGTAAACTTTCAGTTCTGATCTGATATGTGCTTTTTCCTAGCCAATTGCTCAGGTGAGCGATGTGGCCCCTGGGCCTCTTGTTATTTGTGGTAATTTGATTTTCAGATTGTGATCATCATGAGCAGGTGACATCCATTTTTCAGATATGGCAGAGGGAAACGATGTGGAAGATCCAGATATTGTGTATGCTCAACATCTCATTGAATGTGAGCTTTGCTCCAACACAGTGAGCCTACACTGTAGTGTTTGTAAAGTCAATCTCTGTGGCGTGTGTGTAGGTGCTCATATAAATGCCAAATCCTCACAAGAACATAACATTGTGTCTTATAAGCTGAGAGGATCCATGCCAATTCTTCCACCTTGTGCTATTCATAAAAATGAAAAGTGTAATTTGTTTTGTACAAAATGTCAGATTCCCATTTGTGTGAACTGCATAACACTTAATCACAAAGCCCACCCAGCTATAAAACTGGAAGATAGATGCAAGCAAAAAAGCCTTGAAATCGAAAAAGAAAGTAAATCTCTGGAAAACAATGTTTGTAAAAATCTGGAGGATAATATTGCTAAAATGCAGAAACAGCTGAAAGAAGTTCGAGTAAAATACGAAAAAATGCAAATTGAGGTCACTGAGCATGGAAGGCAATGGCACGCTGAAGTGGACAGGACAGTGCAAAAGTTCTCTGAAGAAATAAAGAGTATGGAAGATCGAGACATTACACTCTTAGAGAAACAAATCGAGGAAAGCAAAGCTCTCCTGAGGGCACTCAGTATTCACTGTAAAGAAGTGAAGAAGTTTGCCAGTTCTCTTGATTTAAAAGATATTCTTGATTATGAATTAAGAAAGGAAACATCACATCGTTTCAACTTTTCTTTAACCATGCCATCATTTATTTCCACAAAAATCAAAGCAAATAAAATGTATGAAACTTTTGGCAATCTTTTTTCTCAAATACCACACCATGTAAAATCCTTCGCTTCAAAACAGGAAACTGTACGCAAATTATGCAGTAGATCAACCATCTGCAAGTCTGTGGAAACCAGAGTTGATACGATTTGCAATCTTGTGTGCATTAATGACAATACTGTTTGGCTGAATGGTGAAAACAATGCAATAATATGCTTCAAGGATACTGGTGTTGAGTTTGAAAGACAAACAATAACATTGGAATTCAAACCCACTAATTTGGCCATTACCAGACAAGGAGATTTGGTCTTTGCCATCTGTCATTCATTGCATAGCTGTGCTTACAAAGTTACTGATAGCAAAATCAAAGAACTGATCACTTTTGTTGACTGGAGACCTATTGGAGTTTGTTGCACAGCAGACGACAAATTCCTGGTCTCCCTGGAGAACAAGGATGAAACTGAGGTCAAAATTGCTCGCTTCTCTGATTCAGAAATAATTCAAGAAATTCAGTACGATGACCATCATCAACCTCTCTACCAGGCTGGGAAATATTACATTCTGGTGGAAGAAAATAAAAATCTGGATGTCTGTGCATCAGAACCAAACAAAAACGAAGTGGTTGTCACCAACAAAAATGGAACTCTTCGATGGAGATACAAAGGGAATCTGCAGACTGGAAAGTATGAGTCCTTTTCTCCGAGTTTCATATGCTCGAATATCCATAGCCAACTTTTAGTCATGGACACCGATAATGAATGTGTTCATCTGCTAGATATGGATGGAATTTTCATTACTTACATTACGCATCCAAACATCCAGGGTATTGGTGCCATGAGTTTGGACAGAAGTGGGAGATTATGGATAGCCAATTACAAAGGAGGGCAAATTAATGTTTTCAAATATCTACAATAAATTTAACAATGTACTGCAACTTTTCAGCTTGATCAGAGATACCAGTACTGTGATCTGTATTTATGTTTTTCTTTATATCATCCTTTTTGTATCACTTGAGAAGAAAACTTAAAAAAAAAATTCTGTGGGACAGAACATCACCCTCCATCCCTTTTCAACAAAATACAAGTTCTACAAATGCAAAGCAGGTTAAGTTCAATTTTGTTCATTGGAATTCCTGATGGAAAATGAAATTTTCATCATTTACGAAAAATTCAAAAGGTGACCTACAAAAGCAGGTCATCTGGGTGACCTCCAGGCTCCTTAATGAAATGAATTAGAGTCTTAACATTGCATTAATTGTTTCCCCGATTGCTATATGTACAGTATATAAAATTGCCAGGCAAACTTATGACTTAAAACTTTCATTTCTAAGCCTACTTTCAGAACCAAATCTTACATGGACACCTTACTACTGTAAATGTATTATATTTGGCGTGTACGATATTTGGCGGAAATTCAATTTTCAACAAGTTAGCGTAGATTTGATTTAGCGCTGTCTGAATTTGCTAGTTATAAAAGTTAATATACAAAACATTTAGCGTTGTACTTGAATTAGCGGACTCTGCTTTCCGCTTAAATCGCTAAATAGAGTACACCACTAAATGTAATATGTTTACAGTATCACATAAGCTTTCCTGATCTCTGACCAGTAGAGCTAAAAATGAAACTATGAATAAAAAGCAACTAGTAATCAATTCATTGTTATTTCTTTATTACAGTATACTCTTAATAACTGCATAAAGGGTGACTATTTACATATAAATACTAGGTCAATCAGCTATAACAATTCACAACAAGTCATTCTGAACACGAGTCTTGACTACAAAAGTTCTTATCCTATACACAGAGTATGTTCCAACTGCATCCAGTGATAGGATGAGCAGCACATCAGTACTGTGAACAATGATAAATTGTCTCAAGTCCTGTGAACTACAACACGGAAGTGTTAAACATAGATTTCCGAACTTATTTTTCTCCTTTCTATGATATTACAAAAAAAAAAATCCTATTATACATTTACATTAAATTACGGTTGTAGAGAAAAAGCAATATCTGATGAATCATAAACTGTATAACAGTAATACTGCTGCTTGATTAATGTAATCTTTAAGTTGGCATTTCTGAAGAGCTATAAAACATGGAGTGACTATGACATTCCTAGAAAACAATGCTCCTGTGCTATTTCTTGTACATGTTCTATTTACATTCTTTAAAGCAACAGTTACAAGCATCTGCCTATAGCACACTTTTCCACTGCAATACCCGACATCCACTGCATGAAATACAGAGGACAGAAATTTTTGCAACGATTGAATCACAGCAAGTTTGCTATAAAAATTGAAATAAATTACAAAACCTTTATAAAATGGTGTAACTATCAAAGCACTTGTATACATAAACAATTTGTACGAATAAAAAAAAATCAGGGTTTTTAAACAATGGAGACAAAATTTGGCACAATTATAACCAAATACACATACAACTGTTGGTTCCCTGTCAAGAAAAATGTCAGTTTATGTATATAAATAAAAAAAAATATTTAATTGTCAGAAAATTTCTTTCTTATAGTTATAAATAGCACTTCAAATCATAGTTCACTTGAAACGTTAACCGTGTTCATCATTTATAATATTCAAGATCAAGAAACATTTACTAGTATCATTGAATTTTGCTATCAACCAAATCTTCATAAAAGAAAACAATCTTGGAATAAATAATTCTACAACCAATCGATCCCATTCAGTTATCACACATAACAATCATAATAATCTGTAACACATAATCCCAGAGGATTGGGATTGGTCAAAATAACAATCTAAGTAAAATATAGCAAAATAACAATAAATTACACCTTGTACAGCCTTCGTTACATCTCATGAATAAACAACATTATGGATGTATAGTGTCTTAAGTAAATTCTATGGCATTTTAGGAGACACCCTCGAATTGTATAACATCGCACAAAATATGAAAATGCTTGTGAATACTCAATGATGTCTTGTCTCTGTTATATGGCCCTGTATGGTAAATACATTGTATCACTTTTTTAATTCATTGTGAATCTGACCACATTGTGAAATGTGATGGGAAATCAGCAGAATCCAGATCACAGCACCATCTATGAACCACTAGAACCACCCTTCTACACCACCGCACTTAACTGTCAAATTCTAGCCGTTTTTTGTTGCCACCACGTGGTTTTATTTTCTCAGATATCTGCCACAAGCTTTCTTCACTGAGATAGTCGTCAAAGTCATTGAAACAGTTTATCAGCTTCTCATTTCTCTTTATTTGGTAGTTGCTACAAATCAAAGAAATCAATAAACATGAATTCAAAAGTATTTAAACAATTTACAATCTTCAAAAAAAAAAACCCAGAGTTTTTAGATCTCTATCCTCTTACACAGTGTATATGCCTGGATCTAAGATGTCTGATTTTAATTAGATTGTTTATTTATTGGCATTTAATTTGAAAATAGATGTTTAAAATTGTTGTTTCGGTTAAATTATCAATAAATGCACCTTAAGCAAATGAATATACAATTATCATTGTATTACTACATTTTTACAATGAATTCAAATTTAAATTCTTGACACTCACCATTTCTTAAATCTTCTCATATTGTCTAAGATGTTGAATTGTTGCCATCTTTTGGCAAAGTTAATGCTTCCATCAGGCAGCAAGTCTTGGTTTCCAATGTTGATAAAAGTCAAGTCTTGTAGAATAAGACCACTGCAAGAAGCGAAACAAATCACAATCCATAAATGTCTCTAGTTCAGATATTTATGGCAAAGTGAGAAATATATACCGGTATATATCTACTGTAAACACACAATTATTCTAAGGCCAGTGTAGTATCAATATTCTTATAAAATCTCATTGAAATCAAATAGGGATGTAAAATCGGTCAATTTTTAATACTCGGTTACTCGGACGTTTTTCCGATCGAGTACCCGGGTACTCGGTAAAAGTCTAAATAAATATGAACAAGTTAATTGATAAATGTAAAACATTGAAATAAAACCACATGGTCTGATGGGAGGTTTACCCGTAAATGTGTTGTAACAATTAGGACAACTTTATGCCAGACGAAATTTAATCTAACATTTTTTTAAGTCCAATTTATTTATCAAATAAATACAAGAAATAAAATCATAAATGGCTCACAGTGGTTTTGTTTAAAAAAATAATCT